GGAGTTAAATGTAGTCTTATGGTCTGATGTAGTCAGCACCGAATCATCCCTTTAGTTTGAAAAACAGGCCCGAACATAAATTAAACAAAAGCATTTAATCCCACTTTAATTTAAATTTTCAGGATAATGAGCAAAAACACAAGATAGACCATCTGTGAAAAACCACCAAGTCATTTACTGCTTGCTGTGTTCATACTGAAGTCATTAAAATCCCTTAATTTGATTTGTGACATGCCGACAATACAAACAAGTGGTACTATCAGAAACAAGTCTACATAGTAACAATTGCCAGACATGAAGAAACCAATGGTTTCATTAGAAACAAAATCGAGAGTTTAAATTTGATGCTCAAAGATTGTTTTGGATCAGCAACACATAGCACAGGGCTGGATGTCATGACTTGCCCAGCCTGTGTACCATTTTAGCTAATATATTTTCAGTTTCTGGGAAAAAAACGTAATATCTAAGCCTCGAGCCATGCAAAAAAAGTAGATTTGTTGTCAGAGAGTTGTTGTCAACAGTCTTCTACCTGCAAATAAAGGCACACCCCAAGCCCCTCTCCAAGTTAGCAGCTGCAGTTAACTAACTGAGGATTTAAGCTTACAGTTCAATAACAGGAATGAAAAGAATCTGTTAATACTGAAAATAAGGATTGCATTATTACTTTACAGACATATAACCCATTGCCACATGAGGATATAACCTACATCCTTTGAATCCACAATAATGTTGAGCAGGTGCATAGAAAACCACAGAATTTCCAGTTTCCTAATGACATCCTGTGAAATGGCCAACTTCAAAGAAGAGTTAAGAGTTTTATGAATCAGGAGGGCCAAGATCTTCAAAATCCTATTATGTTTCCCCACATCAGGGAAAGAGAACTTGAAATATATGTAGTTGCTACATATGACAAAGTATCAGGACCATGGTAAAGATTTTTTTTTATAAACTCCTGATTTTACAAAACAAAAGTAATGTTATACAGTATGTGTAAAGTGACAAATTTGGATTATTATGTTATAAGAATGAAGACAGAATGAAGTTCCAATATTTAGAGAACAAGGTCCTAGTTATATGAGAAAAAAGTCATATAATACTTGTAGTTTTGGTCATTTGCTTTGTATAACTGGTGTCTGGGCCCTGTCTGAATTGTGAGGCTGCAGCCCTACCATCCACCACTGTGCTGCCCTGGGGCTTACATGTTTAGTTTCAGGGTAGCTTTAAAGTATGGTACAAAGTCCAGTTAAACAGAGATAGAGCACTCAAGCTCAAGACTCAAAGGCCATGGCTATGCTTTGAACCCACAGTCATCTTGCTGAATGAAAGTGCTGTTTTCTTCCACACCCACAAAATGCCTACACTGCAAACCTTTATGGGTTTATGTGCTTGCCAGTAAATCGTGATAGTTCAAAAGCACAGTTAAACATAAGTCTATTCAATCTCCATGGAGTCCCCAGTGGGATTTTAATCCTGTTCAGTGTGAGCTTCTTCATACATCCATCGTTCAATAGAAAAGCTTCAACTGGAATTTGAACCCCCAACCAACTAAGGGAAAGGCAGTGGTGCTAAACATTTGATCAAACACAAGTGTTAGAAAACAGAAAACTTTGGGCTAACGCTTGGGCATGCAGATGGCCCAGTAGGTGAGAGCACCCCATGCATGGGGACCATGGTCTCCGCAGTGGTTGTGAGTTCAAGTCCAGCCCTGACCATGTGCTGCATGTCCTCCACCCTCTCTTCCCACACATTTCACCCTATCCTATCAATATAAGGCACCCCCCCAAAAAAAAAATAAAAAAATAAAAATAATAATAATAATAATAATAATAAGATGAAATAAAATAATAAAAATAAATAAAATAATAATAATAATAATAATAATAATAATAATAATAATAATAATAATAATAATAATAATAATAATAATAATAATAATAATAATAGTAATTGGAAAACAGAAAACTCACCCTAGCTGCAGGATGGATGTAGTTATTGCTGAAGTGGTTAAGTCGAATGTCAGTTGTGGTTCAAAAGATGTGAACTTGGATTTTAGACTCAGAGACTGCCAGATGACAAGCTGCTATTTGATCGTTTTACAGTTACGGTTTTGCACAAGAACAGTTAAGACAGCTACAAAATAAAAACAACACTGGAACAAACTTTGCGGAAACAGTTTAGCTTTTTTATGATGCCACTTTATTTTCCAAATGCATGTTTGTAGAAATAAATGCAGGCTGCATTCACTCTTTAGCAGCAAATTATCTATCCAACAGAGTTTTTTAAAATCCTCTTTTATGGTAATTATTTGCAGTTTCTGACATGACATGTAAGGCGCACGATTTAAAATGTATAACTTTTCACATTTAAAGCTTGTCAGATCTGGTTATATGTGGTTGATTTCCCACAGATCCACCTTGTGATGAAATATTGTTTTATGTAATTCTCTGCTCATCATTGTTGCAGGTCCATGTAGCAGAAGAAATCAATATTTCCATATGTACCGCAAAATTCCTCTAAATGATCCAAGAATGGTTCTTGTAAATGGCAACAAAGACAACAAACATTTAGAGATGACTCTTTATTCATATCAGGCATTAAAGACCTTTTAATTATTTATTTTTAATATATTTATGCTGTTATTCCTTATGGTTCAGCTAAGAGTATAACACATCCTAAACTGTTTGGTCTACTAATTAGAGATGAAAATAAAACATGTTGCTTTCACATGCATGGGCAGAGTTTGCATGGGAAAGAAGGATTAAAGGGGGATCAATTCTTGTATTTCCTTCTGCCGCCTAAAATTTATCACCATCTCATTCTTTTTTACAGCTTGCATAAATCAAAGACTCAAATATCCTCAAACATTCACCAGAGACATCTGAGCTTATCACCATTGATGATTTACAAGATAAAATGTTTCAAAAAATGTATTACAAAACAGATGTTTTATCTGCTTGTTGGCAGCAGTTTAGACTTAAATAGGACTCTGTCTACCAAGTCTATGATCATGAGTGTTTTCTTTTAAGATTTAATTTGTGCCCTTGAGCTTCTCTGTTTATATGCTTGTCTGTCAGCCTTTTTGAGATCTTTTTTTTTGTTTTTTGTTTTTGTTAAAACGCTTTATTGGCCCAAAATAAAGACAAAAATAAAAACAAAAAACTGGTATAATGGATAAATTAGTAACAAGAAGAAATGAGAGGAGATATCTGCTAAGACAGATGTTAGGATGAGTTTTTTTAGCCAGTCCTGTCTGCCTTGAGAGTGGTGAAGCTGTGTCACTCAAATACCTCACATACTTCAGTGTTAGATTGCTGGAGCCGGGGGCCTCGGACAACCATCCTTAACATCTACCTTGTACCCATGTTTTACATCACACAGGTCCCCAAAAAACGTTCTGTCATGGTATTTCCTTCTATGGACCCTCCATATGTTCACCTAAAGCTCCTTAAAATATGTTGTCCTTTGTTCTTACCGTACATGGATTTTTCTTAGGAACTAAATGTCAGCAGTATGTTTAGAAACGTGGATGACTATATATACTTGAGCGGTCTCAGACCAATCTTTGTTATGCTTCTGTTATGCTTCTGTTACACTTTGTTACGCTTCTGTTACACTTTGCAACACTTTGTTACACTTGTGGTATGATGAAGCTGTAACCCAGATCTGTAACCAGTAAAGCTTGTCAAAATGATCATTCTTGTGGACCTTCCATTTTTTATAATGTGTGAACATGGGCTAGGCATCCTTACAACAGAGATCTTGATTGATTCATTAAGAGGGAAAGTCTTGAAATGTTAGGGCTTTTTCTTCTCTCTTCACCACTCCTGTTACTTTTTAGCCTTTTAGCCTGTATGGCTAAACTGCCGTTTTTCAGATTGTCCAAAAGAAAGAATGTCAGTTGTAGTTATAGGTTTGTTCCTGACATAATTTACAACATGAACATGGCAGCCATTTTTCACCTGTGTTCAAGGTTGCAAGTAGACATAGATTGACATAGCCCATCCTCTGTTAGAAGGTTAAACTACATCAACATCAGTCTATAATTATTGAGCTTCTTCCTCATGCGATTCTGATCATTTGAGTTACTCAGTAGTAGTAACTACTGAGTGACACTTGAGTAGTCACTCAGACACCCTGTAATCTGTTTGCAAAGGTGTCCTACTCTGTTTTGGTGAAAGAACAATTATATTTATTCTGAATGAATAAAGCACTCCTTTTAAAAAAAGTAATGCTCCTGGAGCCTATAAATAGATGAGATTTCTTAACATATTAAGGAGGCCATGGGCTGCAATGGCAGGTTCAAATTTGCCTTTGCTTTTTAGTGTTTAAGTGATTTTCTGCATGCTTCTAATGTATAAATGTTATGCAATGACTAAAGTCAGAAGAATTACTCAATCTTGTTCCATGGAGGCATCTGAGAGTGTCCTCAACTAGGCGGATTTTTACTGTGTGTGTCTCTTGCTGTGATTTTTAGGGTAGGATAGGCTAATTCAAAAATAAGAAGTGTGTTTCAGGGGAGAAGGCCAGATTCAAACACAGTTAAAATATTTCTTTAAGTGTTCTCTCAGGACCCTAAATATACATCAAAGTGCTGGATTTGTGTTGCATTCTTTATGGGTCTTAACCCAGTCTTTGAAATTAAACAAATAACAACAACAACAAAGGCATTTGTATTTTTTTATTATTATTATTTTTACATAGCATGGCAAGGACAAAATATAACCAAGAACCAGAAAAGTGAGCATTAAAATTTAAAGTAACCGATCAAAGTGTTTAACTTGCCATGGTAAGCTACACAGATGATAGACATACCTATAAGAATAAGAATAGTTTCATATGCATTTTGTGGGCCCATGTGAGCATCTCATCATCATAAAATGATATTATTCTGTAATACATTTGAGCTTAGTAAAATCACTTAAGTACATAAAAGCATCATCAAATCAGTTATATATGTGTGTTTCATAATATATATCTCATTCTAGGGAAATATGTAAGGCGGTGAGGCCGGTAAACCAGAACATTTGTTCAGGCATCAAGTAAGCGCCCTCGTCTGACGTCACCGAGGACCCTTCACAACAACATGGCGGGAGCCGGGTCGAAGTCGGTTTTGTTCGTCTGCTTGGGTAAGAGACTATTGTTATTCCAAAATACGCTAATTTAGCGTCGTATATTGTGGATGTATAACATAAGTGTCACACAAAGATATTTGCCAGTTTCTGGGTTATGTGAAGTATTTATAAATGTTTTTTTTTAATTCAGCCGAGGGCACCGAGTGAAATATGGAAGTTGCTTCTGCTAATTTGCCTGCTATGAGATGAATCTTACATGGTGCTGGTAACCCATCGTAACTCTCATAGTAAGTTTGCTGCCAGGTGTGCTTTGAAGGACATGTTTTTCAAATGTTGGGTGACGTTCCCGCGGTTGATTTTTGGCTAAGACGATTGCTGACAGAAGGTGTTGCGGATGAATTGGTGACCCTGTCAACTGGCGACTTTCAGCTGAACGTGTCAGTGGCTGTCGTAGTAGCAACATCTGGAAATAAACACCAAAAAAGTACTCTTTAGTGCCTAGTTTGAGTTTAAGCATAACGCCTGGGTACTGCCACCAGAGAAGTCTAACAAAAAAGTGCATTTTGAAAAGTAATTGTCAACAGTTGTTGAAACCTATGACGCCTTCAATTTGAAGTGTCCACATGATAGGGACCCTCTCCAAACCGAAACAACCAATAATCAGTAATTTCCAGTAATTTCAGTTAAGTCCAACCCTGGGACAGTATGTTAGATTTGACGATGAAGAGAGTGGATAAAATAAGGTGTCGTGTGTGTTTAATTTTATAATTAAGTACTCTTGTACTTCAGTCAACATGAATTTGCATTATGAGAAACATTACACATCATTATTTGTGTAATATTAAAATGTAATGCTTGTACTTAAAAAGCAAAGTCTGAGTTAGTTTCCCTGCGTGTGTACACATGCTTGTCCCATTAAAACTGATTCAGACTCAGAATTAATGGTGATCAGGTATTTTATTTTAACACTAGTTAATATGTAACTGGCCATGTAAGTCATTGACAAGTAAAGCTCCTGCTGATTGTGGCTCAACATTGATTGTGCTGGAAATACAGTTGGAGTCTAAAACAGGAGTGCCGGAAGATATCAATGTTATTGTTTTTATGATACAATTTTTTTTTTTAAATCTGGATGACTGGATCAGATTTTTCCTTGAGCCTTGTATGAAGCAGATTAATATGATTGGTTGTCAACAAAGTAAGCACTTGCAGAGCACAGTGAAAGTGTCACTCCATGAGATCTTGATCACATTTTGGAAGTATGAACCTCCCCCTTTGTTATGCTACTGGTTATTTTTGGCTCCAGGTTGAAGCTGCATTTGATGCAATAATGTTATATGATAACTAATTCTGTGGTTTCTCCCTATTTATGACCTATATATTTCCATGAATTTAGATCATAATTGTTATTGTGTGTTTAATTTTTGTTTGTTACTCTGCAGGTTTTCTCACAATGCAGTTATTTAGACCTTGCATTAAAAATCTTCAATCTGTTTTTGGTTTCATCAGGGAATATCTGCAGATCCCCTATTGCTGAAGCTGTCTTCAGGAAGATGGCAACAGATGCTGGCGTTGTTGATCAGGTAATGTTATCATCAATGATTCCATATTCGAAGAAGAACAATGTTTATAATATGGCTCATGCCTGTCTTGCCCCACCATAAAGATATTATTTACTGACAGTTTTTTTTTTTGGTTAATAATAAAATTGTGTAAAAATGACAAATCAAATGTTGAAACTGAACAGTTACATCACTTTGGGAAAGTTATGTTCTTCCAGCAACACATCTTAAAAAAGTCAGGACAGGGGCATTTTTACCATTGAGATGCATCACCTCTTCTTTCAGAAACACTCTTTGAATGTTTGAAATAAAGGGGTAACTGGTCTCGAGAGTTTTGAAAGTGAAATGTGATGTCAATTTTTTAAAGTTCTCGTTTAGAATTTAAGCTGTGGGGTCTTCTTTGACATGTTTTTTTTAGGTTTGTGATGAGCCAAATCATGTTGCAATGTGTGCAAATTGTAGTTGGCATCTTCTTGCTGAGTCTCTGCAGACCAAGGCTTATTCTGGATTGCAGCATATGTTGCTCCAAAACCTATGTTGTTTAGCATTATGGGGCCTCCCCAGGTGTGTAAACTTGCTGCACCATGGCTCTTATATATCCTCATACCATCACAGGTTTTGACTTTTGAACTGTGGGTGCCTTGGGTGGTTCTTCTTTGTAAAACCGAAGACGCAGCCTCTATGATATCCAAAAAGGATGTTAAATCATGACTTGTCAGGCCACAGGACAGTATTTCACTTTACCTCAGTCCATCTCAGAAGTTTTAACCTGATTATTTTTAAAGCTGCTACAAACTGTTCACAGACTGGGGTTTCAGCCCATGCACTAATTTCCTCTGCAGACACTTGTGTTTAAATGTAGTCTTTAAGATCAATCCATCGATTATCATCTATTGGCTTTGTCTTTTTTTGTACAGAGGGTCCTCCAGATTCCTTGAATCTTGTTGTCTCTGTTCTTCCTGTTTTGAGATGTGTTGTTGGCATCAAACTTTAAATCAGAATTTTATATTTTTTCATAGGCCTTTCAGTTTCAACATTTGATCCGTTGCTCCATTTAAAATTAAATTTCATCTTTAAATGATTTGCTTACCATCAAATTCTTTGTTTATAAATGTTTAACATCTTAAACTTGCCTTACTACTAGCATACAATATGCATATACAGGTATGATGCTGATTCGGCCCACTGGGATCCCATTCTGTTCTTCCAAAAGTGCTTAATGAGCTGTAACAAGTGATGTTAGTAAGGGTATTCAAGTGCATACAAACTGAATTATGTGTGTTACTGCTGTCAGCTGTAATAGTTTGTGCAATAATGCACAGACCATTATTTCAGATATGTTTGTTAAATTTGGAAGAACACTATCATGACTAATTTTGGTCATCTCTCACATTGTGCGCTAAGCATTAAAGGATCTTGCGGTGATAAAACAGCTTTAGCTGTGGTTAGTGTTCTTTGAAACTCCAGATCAAATTGAAAAAACCATAACCCCTAAAAGAGGTGGCCAAATCCAGAGCTTATGGGTTTATGGGGATTATGATAGTACATCACATGATTTTATAGACTCAACTCTGTTTAATTAGCTCAATATGCGAGGATGATTGTCAATGAAAACTTGAAATGTACAAAGTAGTTCAAATGACTCATTTGCTTCAAAGTGTGTGCTATTATGACCCAGCTGCAGCCCTCTCCCAAACCCCCTCTAATCCTTTCAGTAAGCATTCAAAATTGCCCTACCAAATTAACCGAATCACTTTTGCTGTGTTGTTGTTCCCCTTGCTCTGATATGCCTAGTGGAGGATAGACAGTGCTGCCACCTCCAACTATGAGATAGGAAGCTCTCCAGATCATCGTGGTCAAGCCTGCATGAAGAAGCATAACGTGCCAATGAGTCATGTGGCCAGGCAGGTATGACCACCCACCTTTACACCTTAGCGATAGCGTTCCATTTTTTGTTCTCTGTTGTTGCAGTGGGTCATAGACAGTGGTGCCACATCCGACTGGAATATAGGCAGCTCACCGGATGCCCGTGGTCTGGCCTGTCTAAGGAGGCATGGAATTGAGACGAGCCACAGGGCCCGACAGGTACAACCAACTGTCCCGTGGCTCCTCTCAGCTCATTGATGTTTCTGTGTCCCAGTGTGATGTTTGTGGGATGATGCCTGTCGGACATCCAGACACTTGGCTCTGTGAAGTATTCTTAGTTTTCAAGGTTCTGTGTCGTTGCTGTCTCAAAAATAAACACGGGATGATTTGAAATGCACCTGAAATGGATGTAACAGCCAGTAACCATCAAGGATTCTGAGTAGATAACTTTATTTTAGAGTGTAGGTTTTGAAAACTAGCTATAAGCTGCTTAAGTGCAGCTCCACCACATATAAACTTTTTCAACCCATACCTTCAATTTGCAAAAGGGGAAATAACTGTCTTGTTATCAGACTGCCCACATGCAAAGAAAAACAGGCCAACATCCACTTTTACTTTCACTGGAGGAAGTGATGTACTGGATATCAACATGGCTGTGAGTCAGTCATAGGCACGAGGTAGCAGGCTGTGTGCCAAAATAAAGCTGTGCTGATACAACAGTGGGACCTCTGGTATAATACTGCTTTTGTACAACAGCCTAAAGCCGTTTTCAGACATGCACTCTTAAAAATTTCAGGAAAATTTCTACTGCTCTTACATGGAAGTTTGCCTGTACTCGTCACACACACATTCACACATGATTAAGTCTCCCAAGTCTCCCAGCACATTTCCAGCAAGACTTTCGGAAAAAAAACAACAAAAACAGCAAGTGACACTAACAGAATTCCCTTATCCTCCAGCGGTGCCTGTACCCCCATCATTCATCAATATGCATGAGTGCCACTGGAGTTTCTGTATGTTTACATGATGCACACACTACTCCTTTTTATTTTCCTACAGTGCTAATGTCAGTCAGTGGCCTTTCCCCTTTCTGATGTCATTTGACAGACACTTGATTTGTAAATTTCCCTTTGAATATGATGAAATTGCACATTATCAGAGGATATTGTTAAAATTACAGACACTGTGCACTACTATTGTTTGATGCCTTTTGATAATACCTCAAATTTTAACAGTCAATGCTTCAGTAAGGAAATGGTCAGGTTTTCTTCTCAGCACTTTGGTGTCATGTGAAGGTGAGACAAAGCGTCTTGAACGTAGTACATTAAGTTGTCAAATGAAAGTTTGCAGGATGGTCCGCACATTTTTATAATAATATAATATATATTTCATGTTGGTCTGCACACGAAACACAGAGTGCACCACGTTTTACTACAAATGCAGCATTTCTGCATGAGGCCCCTTATCATGATCCAAAACCCAAATACCCAGACTTCTCATATCTGGCCTGAAATATTACAGCGGGGCTATGGTGTATTTAAAACGATGTTAGATTTGTGAAACCTTTATTTTTAGAAACTATAAAACAAAGGGCAATGTCACGGCTTTTCTGTCTTGGTCACATTAAACTAGTCCTAACCAACAACTTCAATACAAAGGTTTCTAGATATAGTCAAAAAGCTGCAAAGAAAGAATAACTGTTCCACAAATCTGAAACAAGGTTTAAAAAAATCTGTAACCTCCCTTTAATATTCAGGCCTGATTTTAAAAAGTCAAAGTGTTGTGGTTCTGGACCAGGACCTGGTCTAGTAGGGTTTAGATTGGTTCCACAAATCTGAAACTCTGTATCAACATGTCTGTAGACTTTCTTAAATAATTCTGGTCCAGATCCCACTAGTCTAGGGGTGGTGCTTTTGGTTGGATCAGGATCTTGTTTCTGTGATGTTCTCTGTGCCATCTCGTGAGCTGTGAATAAGATGCTAACTTCAGGGTTGCGGTGTAAGGCTAATGCAGTCCGTGTCCAGTGAATTGACACACTACCCACCTGATTTCTTGAATGTTCGCTTGAAAAAAAAAACAGACACTCTCGTACTTTAATAATAAATAACATACTATATATATATATATATATATATATATATATATATATATATATATATATATATATATATATGCTAAAATAATGGGACGTAAAGATAAGTCTGAGAATGAAACTGTTGTTAGCGATTACAATACTTTTACAGACATTTCTCTATAAGCTTAGATAGAGTGACCTCTAGTGACAGATGAATCCACAGGAAAACAGGAGCTGAATCGTCTCATGAGGTCTTTCAAATTGAGTAATAGTATGACTCTTTTCAGTGAGTGTATGACCTCTTTTACATTTGGCCTTTCAACAGAGCCTGCACCCACTGACAGAGTAACAGCCAAAAATGTAAATGCTTTGGCTTTCCTTTGATTTCGATATTCCTGATTCTCTCTGTAGTGTGTCAAGTACAGACATGCAGTATTTTTTAATACTGGCAGTGTTATCGTCTTGAAAATATCTTTAATGTGTTTTTGAGTGTCTGTGAAAGTGATAAGGGACTAACACTGTGCAAACTGATACTAATAGTGGTGTGTATAAAATTCTGGTCTTTGTATCACCTCCCAGCATGTGTTTTAAATCGTGAAACAAGCTTAAAATCATCCTAAGATGTTTGTCCATGTAGGGCCTTCAGGCCTTACACTGTCCTGGCTTATCCTCAGTGCAACTCCCACTCCCCTGTGCCCTCAAAATACTCTTTTTATGTTTCTGTGAAAACACTTAAGGGGTTTCACCCTATGCTTCAGATCTGCCGTCTAGTCAGTTTGTGTCTCTGTAAACCTTTCAGTTAGACCTTTGTCTAATCTCCTCAAAGCAGGGATGAAAACCTTGGGTTAAACCCAGCAAATCTAGCACTTTGCCTTAATCACCTTTTTTGTTTTTTTTATCACTTGCTTTTGCTCCCACCCTCTATTTTTTCCTCTGTTTCCTCTCTCCCCGGTTGTTTTACTCTGTGAACTTTGCTGAACTTCATCTGCTGCCAGTTTCTAAGCAGACTGGCCAAGTGGGAGACCGCTGTATCTCCACATAAACAAACGTGTTTGTTTAAAAAAAGCAAACATGATCCATGATAAATAGTGTGGAGTGTTTGATGGCTTATCAGAAAATGCCAAGCAGACATCAGATTTAAGAGAGTGCAAATTTTGATTTCATTCTCATCAAATGTTATCATTGAGTCAACATTCAGAAGAAGTGTTGCCAATGTTCAAACTTTGACATAAACCAGAGACAGTCTAGGATTGCTTTGTTGCTCTCATTAAAAAAGGATCATCAAATACATTTACACAGATACTGTCAATTCGACACCGTTGCTATGACATATACTAGTGTGTTTTTATCCATAGTGAAAGTATCTGAATGTAAACATAAATCTACCCAAGAATGTATGAGCAGTAAGCAAACATTTCACTCTTTCTTTATAACATACTACAATAATATAAAAGTGTATTTTCATGAGAAACCTGATCACCCTTTGGATCATCATTTAGCTGTTTAAACAACAGCATTCATTGACTAATAACTACAAGGGGACTTATTGTCATTCATTCACAGACACTTCCTTCTAACATGTCCAATTTACAGTGTGTTATGAACCATTTATTCAATTGACACCCGAGTGCTTGACTCATAGCTTATTATTTTGATTTTATGCCACAGTTTGACGTTCTGATATTACATGTCAAATATCCTTGAAATGCTCTTATTTTTGATTTCCAGTCATGTTGTCACTTCATGTTTTATCAGGTTTTATCTTGTTCTGAACTAGCTCAATAACAGTCTCATCCTGTGAGTGTCATAAAAATCGCCCAGCTCACTCTTCAACCAGATGTTTCAGAAATTAAACTGTGATGTCTGTTAGCCTTTCCAAAAGCTCACATCATTTAGTTATTTATTTTTTTCACAAGGGATATCCACAATGTCCGTGTGACAGTGCAAGATAAACAGGCACAGAGAGGTTATCAGTAGTTCTGATCCTTTTGTATTTTTTTTAAAATTTGTATTAATGGGAAAGAATGAATTGTTAATGCAACTCATATTCTGGATTTGATGGTATATCTTATGTTACTATTTTATCTAATAAGCCTGCATATACTGGTTGCTGATTTTGATTCAGATTTACAGTCATATTTCAAGGGGTAGACTTGACTGAGATGAGCGTTTTACACACAAACAGCCGTGTTATTTCCAAACAGTCTCTCAGACACTCCTGCTGCCACTCTTGCTCCTCTTGACACACACCAAAAATTAGGAACAACATTTTTATTTTATTTGACATTTTGTCTTCAAATTCTGTTTAGTTGTGATGAGTTCGGTTTGTTCACTAGGTTTTGTTTTAATTTTCTAGAAATACTTACAGAGTTAATTTGTCTTATTAGTTATAATGCTTGTTCTCAGTTATTTCTCCAACTTTCACAGCCACTGCCGCTGTGATGCCAGACCAAGGACTAATAGTAAACACAGATAGGGATGCCATGTGCCCCCATCTGCTTGTGTAAAAGGCCACAGCTTAAAAAAACTGGAAGATATGTTGAATTAGAGCCAAGTGTAATTGTATTATACTGTTTTAGAAGAAAAAGAAAGCTGCAACTGTCCCTCAAAAAACACTCCATGATGACCATAGAAGTGGTGTGGATAAAAAATGTCTTTATTTCATATGGAAGAATGTCTCTTAAATAGTCAACACATTGAAACCCACCCAGGTCACTGTCAGCAGTGGCTGTACCTTTTTAAGTGTTTTATTTCTCTAGTTTTGTTTTTCTCTAGTTTTTGTTAGTTTAGTAGTTTCTAGAGTCTGTAATAATCTGGGCCTAAAAAGAGCTACAATCACTGTCAATCACAGTGTGGTCAGTCCATAAGATACTGATCCTGTGTCAATGGAAGATTGCAAGTGATCTTTGGGGAAATAAAAAGATCAAGCCCTGATAGCTACAACCAAACATCTAGGGATTTAAACCAAACTTGAAAACAGTCACAATTAAACATCTGCTTATCATCTATTGTTACTTGTATGACCACAGCTGTCTCTGTGATTGAGTGTCTGTTTCTTTACATCTGCAGCATGGCAGCACATTTATTCACGCCTTGTTACTCTCCTCTGTTTATTGTCTCCTGCTACCATCTTATCTTCTCATTCTTCCGATCCATTGACTCTCAAAACCCTTAAAATACATTTTGGATGCCCTTTAATGACTTTCTCTTTATTGTTCCAGTGAGAATTTTGCACAACAGCCCATATAAATGTTCAGCTCAGATCCCTTTCACAACTCCTACCTTTTTTTTTCCTTTTTCTTTTTTCTTCAATATTAACGTATTTAAAGCTTTGGATGATATTATAATGCAAAATGTGGTTTAACACAACACCAGGGAGTGCAGCTACTCTGTCAGAAATGCAACAATCAATATGCTTGTGTGTTTGTTTTTCAGTCATTGGAAGTTTGAGGTTGTTAGTCGCTCTACCAGGGACTGTTTCACCATCAAAGCTGTCTGCAGTAGTGGAAAATGACCTTAGCTGTTTATTCATAGAAGCCCATGAAGTCCATGTGGACAAATAAAAGCAGTTTTCTTTTAGGATGTCTGACAGATGTGTTTGATTCATATTCTTCATGCTGAGATTTTTTTACGAATAGTTCTGTGAGTCCGGCCTGTTTTTCACCACTTGTAGATCAGGGAAGTAGTGTGAAACAATCTGCAGGACTGTATGTATGAGTGCATTCTTGTGAAACAAAGAAAAAAACTACAAACCTGTTAATAGAGATCAAATACTTTCTTGGAACACTTAATTAGAACTTTTGAAATATGTTTAGAGAGAGATTAACTAAACTGAGGTTATTGTCAATGAGGTTCAGTTAAAAACATTTACTCTGAGTTACCTGTGGGCATCGTATCCTGTTAATCCCTCTTGCATGCGAAGGGAACTGGAATCTCTCATGGAAACAATAAGCTCGCCACAAACGAAACTACGAGCAGGATAATTACACGTGAATACAGTGTCTTGAAAAGATGCTGACCATGAAAGCCTTTTGAAAAACATAATTTTGTGTGATTTTAGCATTAAACGCAGTTTTAAAGCAGACTGTGTTTACTGTTGTGAATGATTCACTGAAGGACTGTGGGGAGACCCAGCAGGACAGGCTTTGTTTCAACACAGAGCCAAAAGTAATGTTTGCTTTGTTCTCACTTCCAGGTGACGAACGACGACTTCATGAGCTTTGAGTACATTCTCTGCATGGACGAGAGTAATTTGAGGTAAAATTATGCCGAGCAACAGCAGAAGGTTTTCTTATTTCTGCAAATGTGGATAGCAGCAGTAGGACACACAGAGCTTTAAAAACACTGGTGTGTTAAGCATCCCCTCTCAAGTGTTAATGGTTGCCGGGGATCATAAAGAAAACATTTGCCTTGAAGGAGGTCAAACTAGGTTGTTCTGCTGACTGTCTGGATATGGATCTGTGCTGCTCCTTCACATGCATATGAACATAGTGGTAACATTGAGCTATGACTAACGTGTAGGTGAAGGCCTCCCCTTAATGAGCAATATCCTTCCTTAAGCTCCTTCCAAAGGTCAGGGGGAGGGATATTTTTTGATACTTTGAACGTTTAGGGATCATTTTGAGATCACATGCCTGTGGCAGATCTGATCTGTAAGCAGCTTACTGAGTTCTTTGGATGCCTCGTCTTTGCTCTTTGGGCATTTTCCTCTCCTCTCTCTCCCACATTATTTTTCCCTTTGCAAATGTTAATCTGACGAGACTGAGAAAATGAGGCCCTGTCCTAGACAAAAGTCAGTTCCGTTTTCCCTTGACAAAAAACACAACTCCTCATTGCCAAGACATAGTTTAAATGTCCATATTTTTCTGCTTTTGTGATATTGGTTGGTGTTATAATTTTCAAGGTCATTAGTTCGATGGATGTAGCTGATACAGTTCTATTACAGTCTAAAGTTGTTGACAGTATAAATGCTCTTCTGATAGGTTGTGATAAATATTCCCCTCCATATCTGAATTTCAGACCAAAGAGACTGTTTGACATTTCAAACTGGTCATGTGTTAAAACCTTTGAAGTTTTTCCCTTTTTTTTTTCTGTTCCCTGGATTTACACAGTTTACTCTCATCTTCACAGTGAGTTGGGGAGAAGAGCTAAACAGGTGAAAAACCACCAAGCTAAGATTGAGCTTCTCGGTTCCTACGACCCTCAAAATCAGAGGATCATCAAAGATCCGTATTATGTAAGTATGAAAGTAAGCGTTCATTTTTTAATCTTCAAACATAATTCAAGGATTCCTCAATGTTTGATCTCAGTTAATACTCATATTTGGCGAAATGAATACAGCTATGATGATTTAACAACCGTAAAATGAGTCCTAAAAGAACATAAAAAAACTTTAAGCTTTTTTTTCTTTTTTAAGACTGTTTTTATTTGGATGTCTACAAACACACATTTTTAAATTTGGCAGTGAGTGTTAACTTTAGGACGATAGACTTCCAACACCAATTTCTTCACACATTGTACTAAGAAAAAAACTCTCTGTGGCTAGTTTACTCACCACAGAGCGTAATTGGCTCATGCTCCTACATGTATTACGAAATAAAAAGCACCCAAAAGAACAGACTGGAGTAAAATAAAATTCTGTGCAACCTTCCTAGTCCTGTCACGAATATAATGAATAATTTTGACAAGACTCATATTTGATTACTTGGACATCACTTTAAAAGAAGCCTGTTCACGCTTCACAGCCCAACTATCCGATTTATTCCTTTCGTGCTTTTTGAGCAGTCCAAAGTCATTGCCAAATTATTTGGACATGTGTTGTCTTGGCTCCCTTAATCTTGTGATGGTTATGAGTCAAAAAGGCAGGAGTGGGAAATGTTGAAGGAGTAAAGGTTGGGAACGGTTTGAAGCTTTGATAAAAGGTGATAAATTGTCAGTATGCTCTTAAACAAGTTTACTTTAGCACATCAAATGTAAGATAAGAAAACTCTATTTATCCCCAAGGGGAAATTTACATTTGTTACTTATTACATAAGTTACATATGTTGGTACAGTAAATTCAAAGAAATAGTGCAGCTCATAGGTAATGACCCCCTGTATGACTGCAGTCATTAAAGTCATACTTTTTTTTAATGTGGAAACGAAGCATAATTTGATTGAATTGAATTTAATTTAAATGAATAAATTAGTTCTTGTATTATATTGTATTGTATTAATTGAAGAAGGAATCATACTGTATTTTACATCCACCCAGAGCAATACAAAAGTCCCAAAGAACTTGAAATTCCAGGGTTTATCATGGTGCAACTCAAGAGGATGAAGATCAGTTCGAACTAGACAATAGGCTGACATGATCTTGTCACGTATTTTCTGAAAATTAAATACTGCAATGGGGACCGGGCAATACATTGAACTCTTGAAAGCAACTTTATAGATGGTTCTTGGTTATGGTATTTATGTGGATTTTACAGTCAACAACAGCTCCAGCAACCATTTCTGCACTCAGTTGGACAGTACAAACGTTCCCTGTTGTTTGTACTGGCTAAAGAAAAAAAAAAAAAAACTTTTCTGATGGCACCTGTTCATTAAACAGGCTGTTCGCTTAATTTGCTGCACCTTACCATCTTGGCAAAGGTGAAGGGTGAACAAGCCTTTTGTTTACTTCAAACAAGTTTTTTGAGCTTTTGTTTCATGTCGTGACAAAAGGATTTTCTTCAGATTAGAATAATTTGACTTTGAGCACGTCTAATTTTATTTTGGATGGGAATCAGCTGGAGTGTTCTTTCTTTTTGTCTTTTTCGCCAAAAGAAATAGTGTATGAGCAGCCTCTACAGTCACTGGGGTTTGGACACATGACAGTAGAATTGTGGTTCCCTCACCAGAAACCACAAAGCATGACAGCAAAGTAAGCAGTGAGGAGCCAGACACTAACTGTCAATGTGTGGACAAATGGAGACACGCGGTCATCTGGTCTATGTGGATCATTGAAAATGACAAACTCACAGCATGACTTACTCTTCAGAGGCCGTTTTTACTTTTATCGCTTGACAAAAATCATGACTTTTTTTGGCCTTTTACTGCCTTTAAACTACTGAACAATTCGGCACTCAGTAAACAGATGGAAAAAATGAACATCTAAGTAAAATACTGACATTCTTAAGTTTTACAGCCTAACATGTACTGGTCTAAAACTCCTTTTACTTCCTTGTGTTGTGTTTTTTAGGGGGGTGATGAAGACTTTGAGAAGGTGTACCAACAATGTGTACGGTGCTGTAAAGCCTTCCTGGAAAGTAACTCCTAACAACCTACCTAAATAATCTCTACTTAAATCTGTTTGATGAACAGAACAAATCTACCATCTATACTTTGGCTGTAGCACACAACCTCTTCTCTGTATAACTGTCTCATGGATATGGCTGAAAGAACCAGGACACTTTGTTTCAATGTTGTTAATGTTCTACGAACTACAAACATTGTGCACTTTTAGAAAGATGTTGTGTGGACACATTTGTCAACTGTAAAATTTAGGAGATTATTAAAATAGATTAATGAACACAACAATCAGAGATTTCTTTCTTTTTTTTCACACACATCATTCGTCAAAGCCAGAGGAATTTCTATGAATGAAGGTATCCTGCAGATGATAATGCATGACTGCTCATCTCTGAGGTTTGCAGATCAAAGGTCGGCTCTGGGGTCAAAGTTAATGCTGGTCTTAATGTTAATCTTCTTTCAAATTTAGTTTGACACTGCAGTTTGTTTATTTTCTTGGTGTTTCCCTTTTTTTTTGGGGGGGGGGGGGGTGAATAGCTTCTTTTAATACAAGTTATGTTTATAACAATGAGATACCAAACAAATAGTGAAGAAGTTGATGAAGAAATAAAAAGACATCTGCTTTTACTCTTTCCCTCTGATGTCTCTCCTCACAGCACAGAAAAGCATTAGCTATTCTGCACAGCACCAATCACCACCTTCACTTGCATGATGGGAATCCCATAAGGGAGAACTTGGCTGTGTCTGTGCCAATAACAATTGACATTTAGTTGAATTAATTAATTTCCACACCCTTGAATTGAGTTTGAGAACCAAGAAAGAAGTTGTGTTAGTTACCCGAGAGAGGTGTCACAATTGGTAATCAACAACTAGTGTGGTCTGAAGTATCCTTTATCTAATACTGAAACTTTCCCTCCATGATGAACACAAACAATGCCTGGAATTACAACCCCAGCTCTGAAAACTTAAAATAAAAACATGATTTGATGGTTGGCAAAGGGATTATACTGTATGTTCAAGCAAAAGTAGTGCAAAGTCAACACAAAAGTTAGCCTCAAGTAGCATTGTGCAACTACACTGTACATTAAAATCAGTGTCTTTTAAGACTTTTTTTGTTGTTAGAGTGCAAGGAGCATAATGGGCCTCTGTCATTGTCACTTTAGTCCCTGAATACTTGTTTAGCGGTATGTAAGTTGGATTTCTTGGACTTAGCTTGATATTCTCACTACATTGCAGAGGTAAAGACACCAAACTCGGTTGATGGTGAGGAGAGACAGAGTTGCCAAAAAGAAGGCTGAGCACAGGTCATTTCCCTACTTGCTTTAAAGAAAAATAGGACAAAAAACTCAATGGAGCCAAAACGCAAAAATGCCCATGTCTGCATAATGTTGCTTTAAAGTCCCTCTCTGTTTTTTATTTTTTATTTTTTTACTAAAAGTGTTCTCAGTGGTCTTTGAATTGTGATTATGAAGTTTTCAACCAAAATTACATTAGTTGTGTCATTTTCAAGGACTTTTCTTCTGCAGAGCTCCAGTAGCTCATTAGCTATTCCCCTCTGAGCCGTGGGCGGAGACAGCGCTGCTCTGCGCCCTCTTCTTCATGCTCGCTTGCAGCCTAACATTGCCGGTGTACCAGCAGAAGCAGGTAACATAGTAGCTTTTCAGCTCTCAGACACTCATGTCTTTGGGGACACGAGCATTGCAATCCGCTAACGCACACGCTTGTTTTGCGATCGTCCTCTCTATTTCTTTGAGTCTGGCCTGCATAGTGGGGCTCTGGGGGCAGAGCTTGGATTTGTGACGTAGGAAATCTCTCTGTGTCTGAGCCTGCCGTTTGGGTCTGCCAGAGGTTCACAATGATTTGAATGCAGAAATACTCTGAAATTCAATTTTAACACTTACTTTTCTTGTCCTGTAGCATCAGAAAAATACAATATGAACATGTAGACGACAATAAAAACATGATTTTCACTGGAGTGGGTCTTGAAAGCCTGAGAGTAAGGTGGAAACTGCACTCCTGGCTCAGTCTGAAGGTAACCAAATCTGTCTAAGCACCTTATCTTCTTTGTTAATCCTATGAAACCCAGTTCTGGTTATTTAACTGTAACAGTTTGTTTTTTTTAACAAATAATTACTCCTAAAAAAGAAAACACATTGCAACAGTTACATCTGTATCACTCAGGGTTAGCTGTTATATAGAGAGAAACCCATCTCTCAGATTTCTGCCTCCCAAACAATAGAGTGAGAGTAAATGAGAGCTCTTGGGTTTTAAAAGAATAAAGAAAACAGTATGAAGCAATGCTAACATGTAAGTGCTAAAATGGTTTCTCCAGAAGGCAAAGGACAAATTCTCAGAAGACCCATTTGTCACTGTCTTTATTACAGTAAGTATTTGATAGAGTGCACTGTCAGCTGTTCAAAGAAGTGATGGTTTGTGTCTAAGTAGTTCCAGGGAAAGTGAACTGTTTCTGTGTAGAGTTGAGTTTATGCAACTTTGATTTGCTCCCTTCTAAGTAAAATAAAATAGAAGTATGAATTGTTCCCTCTCACAGTTTGATACTATGACAAAGAGAAAACAGGGAGAACACACAATTATTCGTGTCCAGAGTCCGACAGAGAGGGTCACTTATGCTTTGTACATAACTTAAAACCCATCAACCACCAAGTTGGCCCTAAATCTCATTCTTCTGATACTAAGCATTGAATGCTCCCAAACTATTTTCCTTGTTGACCATTACCAACAAACACTTGCAGTGGTGACTGCAGTTTTAAAAATGAACAATGTTGGTGTAAAACACAGATTGCTTTTACTAACATTCCACTATATAACACATAAAACAGGATATGTAATATTCATGTACCTTAAATTTAAGTCCATTTACCTCCATTATTTTGGTGTTGCTGAAGAGGTGTCAAACACATGTTATCAAATGTTTGATAAAGTCAGAAAATAAGAGGTTTTGGAATTTGGCGACCTGACCTTGCTTGTATGACTTCATCATATGTTCTTAACCACAATCTGATAATAATAATAATAATAATAATAATAATCTGATAATTGCTTATGTAAACTGAGAACTTAAACTGCCTTGGGCTTGTTCATGGAAACTCCTGCATGAGACAAACAGACCATTCATTTTTGTATCAATCTTATAATTTATTTAAATATATTTCATTTTCATATATTCATATATATAGATGTATTTAACAGCCGCTTGATAAATGCCAGTCACTTTAATTTAAGGTAGATAGGTGGATTCCTCATATACTTTGCTTTACAGTATGTACATTTTTCTCTTGTTGTATGTGACCGTGGCATTTATTAGGTACAGTGGAACCCTTGTGAGAACTCAAATATATAAATATAGACTGATACCACACTTGACAAAGATCCATGGGAGGGTTGTGGTTTACTACCACCACCACCACCTCCTCTTTTTGAGCATGTCTCCACAAAGTCACAGAGATGTGTTCAGAAAATCGATAATTGACAGAGTTCTTTTTCAGTGTGAGTACAACTGGGCGAAAGCTTGTCACCAACTGCCGGCAGGGGTCTGTGGCAACTATTTGTCTGCTTTATGGGTTGTGCAGAAGAAGGGATGGGCCTTCTAGTCATGCTAAAAACAGTAGCTACATTTGGATTTTGCTCTTTCGCCAAAGAAAGAAATTATCAAAATGAAAATATGCAATCCCTTTTCATTTGTTTCAGCAAATATTTGGATGGCAGCAGGGGAAAAAAATCCCCATGCATGTCTCTCTCTTTCACTTAGCTGTCCACTCTTGATTGCTGCCATCTTTGTCTTGGTCTAGTTCTTCCATGTGGTGAAAGCTGACCATCGGGGCCCAGCCAGAAAGGGGGTGGCAGTAAATCCACGCCCAGCATTGCAGACCTCACTGAGGGGCAAATCTGTGCCTGACATCAGTTGGGGCTGCTCAGTGTACAAAGCTTCCCTCTTACTGTCCAAGGCACTTTTCTTTCTCCTTAAGATCTTATTTTACACCTCAACCTGCAGAGAAAGGGAAGGGGGATTCAGCTCAGGGTTCAACTTGGCAGCAACTGACAAATTCTTTCTATTCCCAAAGAAAAAAGAAAGAAAAGGGAAACATTTTAATAAGAATCAAGAAACTTGATTTGCCACAGATCTGATGCCCCTGCTGTGCTACTGCTGGGACTGGGTGTATCAGCCCAGTATGCATATCACTAATGCGAATGTTTGTCTCAGTCTTCAAAACATTGACTTTACACAGTGGACATCGGTGGATTTGATCCTAATTTTCACTCTTTGTTCAGATCTTTTACTTGAGTGGCAGTACTGACACAAAAGAAGACTTGTAAACAAACTCAAGTCCAGCATTAAGGTTTTTACTTTTTAAACTTTACTAATATGTTCACAGTAACATAGAGCACAAAGGTCCTGAAAAGGTGAAGTGACCCCATAATGCTGTACAAGCTGTGGAGGTGATTTTAAGCTGTTGGTTGGTATATCTCATAAATCAACATTTTGATAAAGTAATGTTTTCATTGTAAAATTGGTATGCGACACAAAACATATCTACATAAGATGCTCAGATAAAGGTGTTCAAGTAACTTTGACGATTCATGAAAATGCCCCTCAAAAATGCAATATTTAGGGAATTACATATTGGTTAATATACACTAGAATAGCTAACTGCTTTGCCAATTAAACTTGAGAAAAGACTATTGAATATTTGAAACACAGGCTCTAAATTTAAATGTTTCACACCGAAGCTCTTGTGAGGGATTTATAGCTTGATATTTATGCTGGTATTTGTATATGACCTAAAAAGCCAGCAAAATTAAAACGAATAGGACTTCTCATTTGCTTATCATAATCTTTTATGCCTGAAACTTCTAATGCAGGAAAATGCAACTGCTTGCTGCCAAAACTGCCCTTTTATCTGTCTTTGACTGTTAAAAGCTGAAGAAAAAGACAGGGGACTTGTTTTTTTGAACTGATTCAACGGACGACGATTTAAGCGTGCCACATATACAGAGGCCATAGTCTTCTCTTCTGTTGTCCTGTCTTATGAAGTAAAAAATGCCCCAAAAACCTGTTTCTAGATGCAAAACACATAATCAGCAAAGAAATTCAGTGTCTTGACTAGTCCATAGGGGGTGCCAAAATTAATACAAAAGATTCTAGCATGGTACTTGAGCCAAGTATTTGTACTTCAAATGTTTCTAAATTTGAGTTTACAGCACCTTATGACTTAAAATTTTTAATTATCATAGTGTTTTTTTTCTTGTTTAAACATTTGGATACAGTGATCTGCTTTTGTCCATGCTGATCCTGTTGTATTAGAGATGTGCAACACACCAACTCTTTAACCATGTACACACATCCTCTCTCAAATAATATAAAAAAAAACACGAGTTAGAGTCGCATATAAAACAGTACCTTGTGTGTGCTACCCCTCTGTGCACATTGGACTGCCGGCAAGCCTTGTGAGGAGCCGTGCACATCTTCTGAAGACTGAAGAAAAGACAAAAACATGGATGAGTGGAGTGTGTTTCACAAATAGAGTCGTTTCTCACAGTTAAATTGAAGCTTACATGCAGGTATAGTGCAATCTCTAGTGTAGTGATAGAGCCTGTATACAAGCTTCCTGCACTTTGGGCTGAAGTATAGCGGACCTGGAGAGGAAGAAGAAGAAGAAAGAGGACTGTAAGAACATGTACAGCCTCACAGACACATGCTCTGGTATCCTTAATTTGATTTCTGTGCAGCGTTATCATTTACATTTTTTACAGTCTTTTGAAACTATTGACAGAAATTTGCATCCAGAACATACCTGTAATATGTTTTAACAACCTCTCCTTTTTTCTGAGGTCTCTTGGGTATACAACTGTAGGGAGAAGGACAATGAGCTGTATCAGTTATTCAAACAGCCCTTGTAGGATATTTGGGTTTTATTAGAGCGTAGATGGGCACCCATCTGCTCTATATAATATTTGGAATTATATCACAGGGTAAATCCACAAGAGTATTAGAAAACTAGGCACATGATCTATAGGCTCCTTCTCCTTGACTCTACCTCGTAATAGATAGCTCTGATTAAATCCTTCCAAATTTTTCAAACACAAACTTGTGATTTATTTCTCTTTAAGCCTGTGTCTCCAAAGCTACCACGCTAAGACGATCAGAAAATCTGTAATGCTCCTTTAATTTCAATCGGCTCCCAACCCATCGCTCTCTTATGACTTAGCATTTGAACACATGCCCCAGAATCGTTTTGAGGTTCAATAAAAGGGTCACACCCTCACTCACCGACAACCTGATCCTCTCTGTCCGGTTTGAAGCTGTGTAAATCCTTCGGCTCTACCGGAGGACCCCTCGCCCCTGTTGCTGCCTCCACTTTTCCGATGCGACCCCTGCTATCCTCCACGTGCTTTACGATTTCTACTATCTGCCTCAAGTCCTGTTGCTTGTCTCTACTCGCTGCCGTCGACGCCGGTGGTGCCACTGAGGGCGCGCTCTCGCTGCAGTGTCCGGTCAGCGTGCACATCAGTAACACCAGTCCCATGCTGAAGTGCCTGCGCAGGCCGCTCATAGCTCCCGTAGAGTGCGAAAAAAGTCGAGTCCTTCTCCGACAGTTCTGTGGGAAAAGTTTTACCGGACACCTGCACGAGACATCGAGACAGGACGTCACATCAAAGTGTTGAAGGTGGAGATGGCGATGAAGTTCATTTACTGATGTCCAATAAGAATTATTGCCCTGCTTTATATTACTACTTAGGGAACCCCCTAATAGAAAAATCCACTGAAGAAGACTCCAATCTATCCTCCAAACGAAGCTTTTATTCGTCACACACCCTGATAAGTCATAGTATTACAGTTCATCCAGATTTGCCTTTCATTCTCAAAGTAAGCCAAATCCCTGGATGCTATTTGGTATTCCCTAAATCATAACGAGTAGATTACCAAAGGCAGATCATTGGCTTCAGTTTTTTAATGATCCATCCATGACATCCTCAATAAATTTGAAAACTGTATTAAGATGCGCGCAAAGACAAACCTCAGAACATGTCAACAGCATTGTAAAGAGAGAAAAAAAGCCATTATAGGAAAGAATAAGTTAAAGGATGATTAAAATTTCTTATTACCTGCGGGTCTGTGAACCTCTTCCAACGCTGAATGATCACGTCCCGCTCCCGTGCGTCCAGCAATGATGAAAATAAAAAGGAACCGAACGCAACTTTACTTCCCTCTTTTCTCGGCCAGAAATATGTCCCTTTGCTTATACGCGTATGAAGAAAACATCAAGGCTACAGGAAAAGGCTGAGCGGCTGTGGTCATCCTCAAAACAGCAGCTGAAAGTAGACAGAGTGTGGACGCAGAGCTCGGGGATCCGGTGCTCCCGGTCCTGTTTGCGTCCTCGCTCAAGTCTCGTGTAAGTCGCTTTGAAGTGAAGCCCACTTTTTATTCTGTCTGGTGGACGCGGCCACCTGTCCCTCGTGGGTTACTTCGCCGTTTCTGGGATAATAATAGGACACGTTATAGGCACCCCGGTGCGGAAAGTCCACTGGAGTTGAGTGACCATCAATTGAGCACCGTGTTAAGTTTTCTGCGCCCCCTCCCTCCTTTCCGTTACTCCATTTATCTGTGCGATACGCAGTTACAGGAAGCCCTTTTCCCACTAATACTTCCACAGAAATTCCCAATCAGCCCGGCGTTGAGCTCAGATACCGGCATCCTAGCAGAAGTACTCCAGCATCCTTATTGTGTTCTCTTAACTTCGTTTGGAGCCAATACGCATTTTACATCCATCTTGGGACCGCAACAAGATCGCACCGTTTAAGGAAAACTAATTAGGCATGGTTTATGCAAAATTAATGCACTTTGGTTTCTGGTCAAACAACCGAATACACACCACAGAGCTGAAGTAAAAGAAAGTTTCTCGTCACTGGAGATTAGTTTTCCAGCCCTCTGTGGTTGGTACAGCTTTCTTAAAGTCAGGGTGTGCAACTGGCTCCCATGCCCCCCCCCCCAAATCACACTAACCAGTGAGGCTTGAGCAGTTTACTATGAAAACAAAGGAGGAAAATGGTCATATTACTGAACTACTAATGACATAGAACCAAGAGAACAAAACAGAGCATAAATCTCTTCAAAACAAGGATAAAATAGACGACTCTGTACCGATTTATATCCAAAGAAATATATATACAACAGTCCAGGAGCAACCCCCCTGCATCCCACTTTTCATTATCTTATTATTTGATAATTTAGTGTTTCAGTCACCCCTGTGGCCGCGAGTAAATCTTAGGTGCTGAAAGGACAGCGCGCACTGTCATCCCAACTCCAAATTTCTTCATTGAAAACGTACTGATGCGCGTTATTTTAGGGGTTATTCAGTGCCTAATCTAAAGGTTGACATGTTTCCATTTTTGACAACCACGTAATTGAGTGTCATTGGCCACAGAGGAAACGACACGATCGCTATGATGTTTCCCTGTTGATCTGATACTTCTTCGTTTTTCAGAATTCATGGTTATTTATGAAGAATCACCACAATAAAGACTCACTGCCTTTAACTGTAAGTGAATGCAGATTAATGTTGCTGTCCAATGAGTGGAAATTATGGAAACAATGTTCAACATAGACCAACCAGAATCTAGTTTTGGGAGCAGGCAGGTAAGATAATACTGGACTTATCATGCACAGTGCTGTTTCCACAGGGAGTGACACAGACAAGTTAAATTCTGGTGCAAAGCCTGACCTCTGACATGCATGTGAAAGGCTTATGTGAACAGGATTTTCGGACGCACAAAACAACGGGGGTTATTATAATCCCATCATTTAAGTTAAACTCCTGAAATATGACCAGCTCTAAAACTTACAGGCTAATGAAAGGCAGATTTATTTGGTCATTCGAGAATTCAGTTTATGGTTTTCCCCCTGAAAAGCCACTTTTCAGTCCCATGCTTTTCCCAATGTGAAATAGTCTTGAATCAATCCAAGGCTTGTAAATAAAAATAATGTGTATTTTTTGGGTTCACTGCAACACCCTGGAACAAGGTTCAGTAGTTTCAGAAGGGGGCGCCATTCTGCAGTCACTGTTGATTCAGGTCCTTCAAACGTTCATCTGTTTATCGTTTATCTGTGCTGTTGCATGTCTCTTGTCATTAACAACGAAACTTAGTCAGACATCTGTCTGGATTTGTGGCTTGAAATCTTTCCATATAGATGGAAAAGTAAAGAACTGTAAAGGTGCTACACAAACTGACACACTCAATTTACACCACAGAATGGGATTAAAGGGCTGTAAATGCTGAATAGAACATCCACACCAGATGTTTCAGTTTTTCACAGAAAGATTAATGTAAGATAACAGCTTCAAATTCAGACTGACTTAAAACACGGAAACATTATTATTCATGAACCACTTTAAGAGGTCAGGAAGAAGACCTCTACAGACAGGTAGATATTTTCATCTTGTACAGCATTTTTATTTTCCTGTTTTCACAAAAGAATGAGTACAGACAAAAGTGAAGCTTACCAGTGGTGTGTTTTGGTACTCACGAGAGTGGGGTGCAGTTATAACCACAGCAAAAATATGACCCTGCTTTTGAAGATCAGTGTTTTATAGATGTGTTACCTTATTTAACTCCTCTATTTTTTCCCCACAGGTCTATGACCTCTCCACAGATTAATAGTCACATGTAAAACGTGTTGTCCAATAAGTGTGAGTCCATGAGTAATGTTCATATGATTTTTTTTAAAATAAACCACATATGGTGAACCTCAGAAGCAGTTTCTGGTTTCAACATACTGTCTTGTTCTCCTTTCCCTCCTGAACTCTTTGATATTTTCTTTTCAGAGAAGTTTAAATCTATTTTGAAGTGTAGTCAACTTTCCAGAAATTTGCATCTTTTTCTTTGTATTGAGACTTTCCCTTCCTCAAATGCATTTGTCAAAGTTTGTGAAGACACAGAGCCTTCTCAGATGTTGACTGAGTGAAAAGATGGTTTCCTTCTATCAAAATTGCAAGATATTACTTGATTGTTGTGGTCTCTTAAACCACATCTGATGGCAGTTATTTGTCCACTAACAGATAAAATATTGAGCTACAAGCAACAAATCTCAATTTGTGTGAAAATTGGAAACATATATTCGGGAATATTGTTAGCCAATGTCAGATAACCACTGCCTGTGGCATTAGTGAACCTTTCACTGCTGTTTTGTTGTCACAAACAGCATAATCCCCAATTGGTTGGACTAGATGCAAGCCTACTATCTGCCTGTGACGAAGGTGTGGAGGGTATTTCTGTCTGTGTGTCCATTGCTGTTGTCTAGGCCGAGGGATTATCCTGATATACCACCTATTAAAGACAACTTACTATAGTACTCTACCTTTTAAAGTATGGGATACAACTGGGCTCAGATAATAACAAGATCACTATCCTACCCCCAGCCCGATCATTCATCCAAGGCTATTTAATTCCTGTGTGATCTGTACACCTTCCAGAAGACTAAAGCCCCATCTTCCTTGGCCTGGCTCTCCCGCGCTGGCACATCCTGTCAATTCAGGTGCGGCTGTTTAACTTTAACTTGGGGCAAGCTAAACAGCATTTAGGAAACTAGACAATTTATTTAGACAAATTTACTAGCTAGCATTGAACCCCATGCTGAGTCTCACAGCTATAGTGTCAACCAGTGTGCCCTGGTAGTGTAATGACACTACACAATATATTATTGATTTGTCATGTTATATGGTGTGGCCATTTTTAAAACAAATATGGCCTTTCATAATAGCTCATGTCTATGACATATAAATAACCCTGATCTATAATGAATAAATATATGACAAACTTCCAGACAGCAGCTATAATGACCAACAAAATACCAAATTCTTCCCATTTCTATTTCTGGGCGGCCATCTTTTAAAATGGTTGAAATCTGCTTAGCCAAAGGTTGATGCTAAAATATGGTCATATAAAGGCCATATGTACCAAATTATATGGTTGTATCACCATTTTGATCATCCTTTCAAAAATCAGCAATTAAGAGTGTGACTAGGCCGCCATATTGGATATTTGCTGCCATATTGGAACCTAATATGTTGTTTTTAATTGGTATAAATACCTAAAACATATTATATCATTTCAAAGGTAGGGTAAATGTAAGATTTATAGCTGCAGCAGAGTGATCGAGTGTAAAACGTTGACCTGGTGGCAGCTATTTCTAAAAGCTGGCAGCCATCATGAAAACTGGCGCCTCCCAGGTGGCCAGAGGTTATATTATGATTAGTAGTGGTATAAAAGGATCTCTGTACCAAATTTCATGCTTGTATCACCATTTGCACTATTATCTCATATTCCCGCTCCACTAACACTACAGTCATAAATACTAATAAATACTACAATAATAAAACACACACGTGCACATCTACCGTACATTCCATCAATTGGTATTGCACAATTCCACTACATGTATACATTGTGTTGCGGGTTATTCATAAGGCATTGAGGGTAGTTATTACTGTTATTACTACAGCCAGTGCTGAGGCTAAGGGCCGTGGATGAATGATGGCCCACTCTCACCCTCTGGGTGCGACAGGTGAGAAAGCTGTAGATCCACATGCAGGTGGGGTGTGGAATGCCTAGATCTACCAGTTTTTTTTATCAGTTTGTAAGGAAGTATGGTGTTAAAAGCAGAGCTGTAGTCCGCAAAGAGCATCCGTACGTAGCTCCCCTGCTGCTCTAGGTGGGTCAGTGCAGCATGGAGGGCATTGGCCATGGTGTCTTCTGTAGATCTATTTGCCCTGTATGCAAACTGATGTGGGTCCAGGCTTTTTGGCAGGTATGATGTGATGTGACCTCGGACCAGCTTTTCGAAGGATTTCATCACCACCAGGGTGAGAGCGACTGGTTGATAGTCATTGAGGCTGGAAATGTGAGGTTTTTCGGGCAGGGGGACGATGGTGGAGGTCTTCAGGCATGGAGGGACGGTGGACTCGGACAGGGACTGGTTGAAAATCTTTGTGAACACTCCAGCCAGCGATCCGAGCAGTCCTTTAACACACGCTCGGACACTCCATCGGGCCCAGCAGCCTTCCAAGGGTCCATGGCGTGCAGGGCACGCCTCATCTCATGTTCTGTGAGGGTGAAGTTGCTCTGTGCCGTGGGGTGTAGTGTGGTTGCCTTGGGTGGTTCCACCTCAAAACGGGCAAAGTGTTCAGCTCCCCTGCCAGTGAGGCCTAAACCTCAGCAGCTCCCAAGGTGGGCCTGAAGTTGGTGAGCTGCTGGACTCCTTGCCACACCTGCCTGCTGTTGTTATTTTCCAGGTGTGCCTCAACCTTTCACCGATAGTCCGCCTTGGCCCCTTTGATGCCTCTCCTCAGGTCAGCCCACGCCGCAGAGTAGAGGGCCTGGTCACCAGACCTGAAGGTGATGTTCCTCTCTCTCTCAGCAGCTGCTGGACCTCCTGAGTCATCCAGGGCTTCTGGTTGGGTAGACCTGGATCCATTTTTCCACAGTAACAGATTTGCTGAGCTGTGCCACTTGAAGACCAAAGAATCAGACAACACTTCATAAAGGTATGAGACCAGGTTAGCAAATGTGGACGTTCTAGTGATGAAAACTAGACATCATCCTAACCAGTTTTTGAATCAGTAGATGTTGTTGAAGATGTTGAACTTTATAGAGACAGTGTGATATATTAGCCCATTGTTTTTTCTATACAACTATCTCACCTACACCTGAATAAGGTGTTTCTCTCTCCCCATCAACAAGTGCAACTCTGGCAGAGCAGGCTATGGAGCATGCTGCAGAGATTGAATCAGGAATGACCCAGGTAGTATTTTCTTTTAAGTCACAATATGAGTTTCAACCTGTGCATCACTATGACTCTGCGCTGTAGAGAAAACAAACATAATCCAGTCATTTTATGACTGTTTTATAGCTATGTTGAAGCAGAGTGGAGAGCTATGAATATTGCTTTTTTCAGTTGAGTTGTAAATCTGACATTTACTGGTATTTAAGGTGCAGTAAATGCACACCCAATGCCTCTGATGCACCCCCAGACTCTCTTGAGAGTCGGGATCTGCTTTAATCAGAGGAGGGGCCCCAAATCACTCACAAACCTCACAGGTAGTGATGTGAATAACTCAGGTGGTTGGACCTTGATAAATAAGCAGTAAAAATCAGTTAAACGTAAAATGTGTTTTGAAGATACAAAAAGACTGGGAAGACACAGCATAAGCAGAGTCTATTGAATATGTACATTCACAATTCACAGTATTGTTTACTATCAACCTGTTGATAGCTTGCTATATTTTTAACCCTGCTAACTTACTACTTTTGCATTGACTCAAGAGTCATCATCCTGCTCTGGCTGATTTACAACAACTTCAGAAATTTACTCTCACTTGCTAAAAAAAAAAATGAAATGATTTTTTACCAAAGGGACAGAAGTGATAGCAGCAGAAAAAGCCTGGGTAAGAAACTGGTTATATTGAAATGCTCTGACAAACAGGCACAAAAATGAAAGTCTCCCAAAAAAATTTCGCGCTAAAATAAATAGCTTATCAATGGATGAGAGTGGTTAAAGCTGGCTTCCCTGTGTGTATCTGGTTAGGTAAAATCCTCCCAGAAGGCTGAACAAGTCCTTTTGTCCAAATCCCAATGCTGCTAAATCGTTGGTCACTGCGTTTCATATTTCACTACTTCTTATTCTCTTTCTTGTGTAACTGGCAGTTGATGGTTGGAGTTAACTTTACCCAGATACCTTGCTCCTGTTCAACACCAGGGGCTCTATTTTCGTGTCCACCAGTGACGCAGCAGACAGTGGCGGACCCCACGTAGTGGTATTTTCGTCTGGCGGAGCCCGGCGCACAGCCAGTTTGGTATTTTCAGTCTAGTGAGGCGTACCGAGGTCCGCCAAGATGCGTGGCAGGGGGATGTGTTGACAGAATCAGCTGGCACAGTGACATTTTCGTGCTCGCCAGTGGCATGAAAAGTGCGCTGAAAGCTCGCCGATTCAAACCTGGTCAGCTTTCAGCACAGGCGGAGCGCAGCTGGTCTAGAGGTATTTTGGTAGGCCGGCGGCGTATTACGCAAACGTCACGATGCCTCACCGGCAGGTTTCCACAGTGTCAGGCACATTTCAGTGCAATAAATAATCATCAACAACCAATATTCTGAGTCAGCACATACATTTAGATCTATATCGATATATTCAGATTTATATCTTATCTGATGAGCACGTTTGGCACGCATTTGGACACTCCACCTGACCGAATTTACACAGCTGAAACCCCATTGAATTAAATATCCAGTAAACAGTTACACATGATGAAGTAAACAAAATATTTAATTAGTCTCCCCGCTTATCCTCCTTCTTTCTTGCGCAGCTCGATAGGTGTTATGCCGTAGAATGCATCCCCGCCATAGAATGCATCCCCTGCATCCTATCCACTCATTAGCTTCTTAAAGTGGAAAAAAATAATCTCATATTTGAAAAAAATACACGAGTATTGGATCATGACAATATGTCAAATGGAGCAGCAAACTTTCGTTCTGTTTTTAGGTATTTAAAAAATGCACATACAGAAGTGTACTTGAGTACATTAACTGTACAGTAAGCTGTTAAGGTAGAGAACATTATATTTTCGGGGCAGCAAATATTCCAAATCAGAGGGCGATTGTTTTCGGCTTATCTGAATAGCCTGAATGAAATCATTAAAGGCACACGCTTTTGAATCCATCCAACAGCAACTTGGATTATTTCGCCTTGTTGTGTACTTTCAACTGCGCTCCTGTCAGGGGGTGCATTCTATGGCACAACACCTGACATGTCTCTGTGTCCTCTTTCCGTCCTGCTGCGGTGGCACGGCTGACCAGATGATTTATTTTAGTGATCAGATGAGTTATTTACTTTCGAAAATTTGAACAAAAATAAGATAAAATAAAATAAAATGAACTTTCACTCAAAATTACCAGTTTATCTGATTTTCTGACATCATTAAGATTCTGTAAATATTCAATCCGGAGTCAGGCCCACATACGAATACTATAATATTCAGTTTTGTGAGCCAAATTTGTTTTATATGCCAACATCTATGAAAGAAAGAGCCTAGCCATGGAGCACGATGCGTTCTTTATGCACAGATGGTTCAGATTTTTATGCCATTATTGGAATTTATGTTGTGATCTGTGCGCACAACCCACCTTTGTCATGTGGGGTTTAAATAAAAAATTTAAATGCAACTTTATGTGAGTGTCTTTATTTGTGGAAAAGGGTGTTTGTCTTACCAGTGGCTCCAACATTACACACACCGAATCCATCTGCGCTTATATGAGACAGTGTGCAGGACGCCCTCTGCAGCGCTTACCGTGACACTTGTTGAGGGGCTGCATTCTGTGGCCACCGTGTGGCGTTGATCTCTTTGACTACTTCACGAAAATTGTAATATGCCTCACCGGTGGCAGATTTAAAGGTGAGGAGAGGAGCTGATGTTATTGGTCAATACAGGTCTCGGCTGTGTTAAACCCACTCCACGCCTTCTCTCCTCCCTCCCTACGACTTACGCCACTGGGAGGAGCTGAGTTAGGGAGGGGGGATACTTACGCCGGGCTGCGCTGCTCACCAAAATATCAAATTGTGCTTGGTAAAGCCTTGTGGGCGCGGCGGACCTGACTTACGCCGCGCCTGTGCCATGTTTCTTGCGAGGCACGAAAATAGAACCCCAGCAGTTCACTGGCTTTTTAGGCATTAACTGCTCAGCATGAGATACCCGTTGACTTTAACTCCATCTCTGCAAATCCTATCACTCCAACCGGCCCTGCAAAGATCTCATTTGTCTTACATGAGATGACTTTACCATCCCCAATGTATACCTCATGGCCTTTCTTTATATTCTCCACGACACGTCCGCTTCTTCTGCCTTGACAGTTAATTTGTCCATGTTATTTAAGTCAATTGTTGTTTCTCTGTATTTTCTTTGAGCTGCCTTTTACACTCAAACTATCAGTGAACTGCACCAGCTTACCTGTTCTTCCCTTGTTGCATGCACTTTTAACAACACAGGAACAATTAACCAACCATTAAACTTGCAGATGGATTCCTTACTAATGAAAAATGACTGATGAACTTTTAAACTGGCACCTTGCTTTAGTGAGCTGAGTTAGTTTGGCATATGGTTACGTTCTTTAGGGTATTGTTTGCATCCGCTGTTATCATCAACGACTTTTCAGGTGCATGAAGTCAATGTGATATTAAGAGTTTTGAATACAATACTGCACTTGTCCATTTTCCTGATTTCGATCTGCTGCCCATTGGCTCCAGTCCTGCTCCCAGTCTTTGTCACTCTGACTTGCTAGCTTCTAGTATACTTGATCTGACTAGCCTCCAGGCTAGGCCTCAACAAGGCTGTGGTCCAGTCAAAAAGTCTCTGAATCTTTAGCCTATAGTCAGTTGCCCCTGCCACTGCCTAACAGGTACCCCAAGATTCCCATACGGGGCACTATATGGGGGGCGAAATGTTGGGACATTTATAAGAGCCCATGAAAGACAGCTTAAGAAAATGATTGACACATTTACAGTTTAATTCAGTGGTGGTAGGGCCGTGATGTTCTTTACAGGGCCTGAAATCCCTATTGGCACCCCCGCCTCCCCCAGGTCATCCCTACTGACATCAGGCCATAAAACCTGTTGGTAGTTTGTCAATGTCAATGTCAAGTTTATTTGTAAAGCACATTTAAACAGCCAGTGGCCTACCAAAGTGCTTTACAATAACGAAGCAGTAGCAATAAAAGCAAGTCATACACAGCAAACACCAACAACAAAAGACATGTAACATATAAATGTAAACAAAAACAAATATATAACTAATACAAGTATCATACTCCGTCAAAAGCTACAGTGAACAAGTGTGTCTTCAGTTGGGTTTTAAAAGTAGAGGGACTATTTGCAGTACGCACACTTAGGGGTAGTGCATTCCACAAAGTGGGAGCTGTAACCGCAAATGCTCGCTCCCCTCTGGATTTGAAAAACGAACGAGGCACGTCTAAGACGGCTCGGTCAGCAGACCTAAGGGCTCTGGAGGATTGGTGTAGCTTAACAAGGTCAGCCAGGTACTCTGGGGCCAGCCCATTCAGAGATTTAAAAACAAATAAAAGAATCTTAAAAATGATCCTGTACCTAACTGGAAGCCAGTGTAGAGAAGAGAGCACTGAGGTTGTGTGCTCGCGCTTCTTGGTGCCAGAAAAGAGGCGAGCTGCCGTGTTCTGCACGAGCTGCAGGCAGTTAAGCTCGGCCTGGTCAATTCCGAAGTAAAGGGAATTGCAGTAATCCAAACGAGAAGTAATAAAAGAATGGATTACTGTTTCCAGGTCTCTTTGGTTGAGATATGGTTTAATCTTTGCTAAAAGCCTCAGTTGGAAGAAGCTGGACCTGACCACAGCACTGACCTGCTTGTCCATCAATCAATCAATCAAATTTTATTTATATAGCGCCAATTCACAACAGCCGTCATCTCAAGACGCTTTTCAAAGAACAAGAGCAGGTCTAGACCACACTCATAGTTTGATGATCAAGAACCAACCTAAGATGGGTTTTGGCCCATCTCAACTAACATGAGTAGCAGTGGCAAGGAAAAACTTCCTTTTAACAGGCAGAAACCTTGGGCAGGACCCGACTCATGCCAGACAGCCACCATGCCGCTGCTGGGTTGGGGAGGAATGTAGAGAGATGGAGGGAGAGAGAGGAGAGAGAGAAGGGGGGAGAGGGGAGAGGACAGGGGGAGAGAGAGAGAGAACAAGATAAGGGAAGGCGAGAGAGAATGAGTAAGGAGAGGGAGGGGGAGGGAGAGAGATTAGAGAACGAGGGTGCGAGAGAGACAGGGGGCAGCAGAAACAACAACAACAACAACAACAGCTCATGTAATGGTGAAACAAAAAGAGTTCAGTTTACAGGGTTAGGATATGAGTGATTATGGACAATGTTAAATTAATTGAATGTGATTACAGTTAGCAGGCCTAATCGTAGTCAGCTCTAGTTTATGTTATTAATGTCAGTAATGTCAGTGAGGCTGATGTTCATGTCTGCAGTAACAGTTCAGAGGAATCCAAGAGAAGAAGGAGCTCAGGGCCTGAGGTGGACAATCATAGATGATGCGGCTAACAGTCCAGAGGAATCCAAGAGAAGAAGGAGCTCAGGGCCTGAGGTGGACAATCATAGACAGTAGTCAACTCTAGTTTTATGTTATTAATGTCAGTGAGGCTGATGTTCATGTCTGCAGTAACAGTAACAGTCCAGAGGAATCCAAGAGAAGAAGCTCAGGGCTTGAGGTGGACAATCATAGATGATGCGGCTAACAGTCCAGAGGAATCCAAGAGAAGAAGGAGCTCAGGGCCTGAGGCGGACAATCGTAGACGATGCGGCTAGAGTCAGGCAGGTCTGCAGCAGCCATCAGTCCGCAGCAACCAAGGCGCAGGGGATGTCTGCAGCAACGGTCCAGGGGAGCCAAAGAGATGGAGGAGCTCAGGGCCCAGGGTGGACAATCAGGGATAATGCAGCTGGGGTCAGGCAGTTCCGCAGCAGACCATCTGCAGCATTAGTCCAGTGGAAGCTAAGAGACTCAGAGACACTCAGAGAGACAGAAAACTGTCCAGTTTGAAGGCACCATCAATAATAAACCCAAGATTCCTGGCATGGGGTTTTATGTTTATGTTTATGTGATAATGGGTCGAGGGAGCTGGCAAGGACCTGAACCAGGTCGGGAAAGCCGAACAGGATAACCTCTGTTTTGTTTTCAATGCCAAGCCATCATTCTGAGATCTCTAGCCCCAGGGCTTCTGTTCTGCTCTTTATCAGTTTGTTGTTCACTTACTCTTCCTCAGTTCACACTGGCAACTGCTGAAGCTTAAGCCTAGCTCTCTGTTCAGGGGTCCGTTTCACGTAGGTGGTTCAACAAACTCTGAGTCAAATCCTTAACTCTGAGTTGATGTACTCTGAGATAGGAAACTCTGACTTTCCGGTTTCACAACACCTGATTTGAGTCAGTTTTAGGAACTCCGAGTAGTTTGACCTGGAGTTAAGCACGTGCACGTCAGACATAAACAGCCAGCATCTGTGGAGCCCAGATTCATTGATCAACCAATGGAAACAGGAAGAAGGAGGGGGCAGCAGCAAGCCAACGGCGAATTACAGCACGTTTTTAAAAGAAAGTGCAATACAGCAGCAGCTGCGATGGAGAGGGAGAGGGCTTGGGAGGAAATTGCTGCTCGCGTCAACGCTCCTCTGCCTCCGTTAAAGGTGGGGCTGCTGGCCCACCACCCGTTTTTCTTGCATCTGCCCTCTTTCTGTTTGCTGAGTGAAAGTCTGTGTTAGTTTAATATTCCTAATCATTTAACGGAACATAATAAGAGAGTAAAATTCATTTTTGAGTGGGAAAAGAGCATTTGTAAGGGATCAAACTGCCACTTAATACTTACTTGACAATGTAAAACATGATCAAAATGAGAAAATGCCGATGTCTCACCTGAAACTCTGGGTTTACTGAGTTAAACCTGCTCCCGAGCAGGTTAGGTTCACGGAGTCTGTTACTATGGTAACTGACCGCGAGGTTGAGTTACCTCTCTTTGTGAAACAGGTTAGAGTTACCCCTCTCTCCCTGGTTTAACTAACCCTCCTTTGTGAAACGGAAAACTCAGAGTTTCCCTGATTTCAGGGTTAACAGACTCTGAGTTTCCATTAAACCTGCTACGTGAAACGGACCCCAGGGGCCTCATGTATCAATACTTGCGTGGAACTCATACCAGAAACGAGCGCACGCAAGGTCCGTCACGCTGAAAAAAATCCGTATGTATCAAGGTGTGCGGGCGCCGAAATCCACGTGTGTTTCCTTGATAAATCCCAATCAGCGTGGAATTGAGCGCAGATGTCGGAGTGACTGGGCCAGCCCCCGTTACGCCCTCCTATAAATATGCAGATTTATTTAAATCGGGTCTCCCTGTCCTCGCACGCTGACAAAATGACAAGAAAAACTAAATTTACGGCGTGTGAGGTGGAGGTGCTGGTGGCGGAGGTGGAGGAGCGACAGCCTGTTTTGTTTGGCAGCCTGTCCAGTGGCATCAGTGCAAAAACGAAAACGCTTGGAGTGGGAGAAAGTTTGCGAGAGGGTGAATGCGGTGGGTTGCGAGACACGCACCCCCGCGGAGATTAAAATAAAGTGGTCGGACCTCAAGGTGGAGGTCAAGCGGCGTACAGCTGCCCTCCGGAGGAGTACAGGTGGGGTTCCGGGGGAGGAGACCCTCACGCCGTTTGAGCAGCGGGTGGTGGCGATTATTATTATAGGGTAAGTGGCGTGTCACACAAATGTCCACATGCTTTGCCATCCCACTGAGCAAAAGACGTATATTAGACGTCTAGTCTAAGTTTATACTTCATTTCAATGTCGGGATTCAGTCTATTTTTAGACGTGATTTATACTTCGCCCTTAACTTCATTTTTCGATAACTTTTTATGCAATAAACAACTGTAATGTGCATAACTGACCTCGAAATACTGGATTACATTACCTATGATACCGTGGAGAGAGATGTAAACTCAACAGATACACAGAAGCAGGAATTGAAATGAACAAATATTTTTATTGTGTCACAGAAATCAATGTGTCGGCCGTGTCGCCGGCACTGCAGTTTAGTAAGATATAGGTCTCAGTAACATTTGAATAAAATAATGTCATGTCTATAAATGTCATAGGATCTTTTTTTAAAAGATATTTTATTTTCACAGACCCCTTGCAATTACACCATGGAATCTATGCTTTTGAGTATATGTTGCAGACCTCCAGAGCAGTTATCTCACCCCTGACCCAGACTACCCACATGAGTTTATCTACTCTATCCCAGCTCTACCTTCAGGTTGCCTGCCTGTGATCCTTGGCTTCAACTGTCAGTCCATTTGCTTCTGCTCTGTTTTAGTTTCAGTCCTTCCCTGCTGCCTGCATAAACCAAGACAACATTGTGCCTAAAGTTATGCTGTTGTGCATCAACAGCACAAAAAATGACAGCTTGGAAGTCTTTCCGGAAATTATACTTTAGAGGCATTACACACATGGCCAGCATCCCCTTGACACTGATGATTTTATTCTGATTATGCAGTACTGGTTAAAGTCTTAACTTCTGAGTACCCTCTGGTCCTCACATACACATCCAGAGAAAAAAAAGAAAAGGTTAAAAGAAGATTTATACTGTATGTTTATACACAACAGTATTTATTTAAGTGTACACTTTCTCCTTGTATGTCAACAATCCTGTTCTACCATTGACCTGTTCTTGGAGTTTTCTTCTTATGTAAGTAATTACTAAAGAGAGATGAAGTGGAATTCACAGAGATCTGCTAAGCTCTCTCATTACAAGCCTCTTACTTACAGAGTTTTGTAGCCCCAACTAATTTTGGCGACAAGTGACATAACTCAAGGTGATCCATCAGCAGTTGGGAACCTCCATCTGGTACCACATGAGGATTTGTACAAAATATTCCCACACATCTGCGATAGCTCTCCCCAGGAACGAAGAACAACAGACTCTAATGAGCCAAGTTCATAGAGGTCTCATTGAACATGAAGATGGAGAGAAAATTTTCTGAATCCAAACATTTTAACGAGGCTTAATCTGCAGAAAGTTTCGAGTGTTTTTTGGAGGAGGAACAATCAAGGTGCATTTGAATGTTGGATAGAGCAAGCATACAAGTGCCCAGATGAGTGATGGAGGAATCAAAAATTATGGACATAAATGGTTGGGTTTCATTGTATTTGTGTAAAACTACTTATACACGTGTTCAAACCTCAAGCCAAGCTCATTTAAGTTGGACTTCAATAAACTGGAGGTCTGTCCGATACTAAAAACAATAAATGTGCAGCTATGCACAGAACATACATAATTTACATAGAATTAAGAGGTTAGGACCACAGAGTGAAACAATACTTAAATTAAGATCATATTTTGAATACACCAAACGCCAAATAATGTTGAAGTGTATATACTCATGTAAAAAAATTCACTTAGTTTCAATTTGAAATCAAATTGGTAGGATAACAGCTGCAGTATCCCAAAAATGGACGCTTAGGCAAACATGACAGAGTTGTTCCTTTTGAAAGCTTCGATAAGACGGTTTGTGGAATCGATTTCCAGCAACCAGCAGGGGAGCTGCACCAGCTCATAGAAACAAAGGAACCACCCATAGAACACATCTACGTATTTTCATGTCACTTGTTATCAAAGTTTCCGTCTGCTTGGTTTAGCTTTTAAAATCATAAAAAGCAGCAGTCAGTAGATTCACACATGCCACTGCCAGAGAACCAAGAGCATGCTGTTGTGTTTGTGCTGCAACAATGTGAAATATTTTTGTGAATGGTCACCATCACCAAAACAAACTGTTGATGTCTTGTAGGGATTTTGAAAGTGCTCACAATATTAATAACAAACAAATTAACAGCACATGCTTAAGCACTCATTAAAAATAATTTTCTTCATGTTTTCCTCCTCCTAATTTTTTGGGATAATTGCATTCTAATAGAAAATCAAAACCACATCTTCCTCCTCTCCTCCTCATTGGAGCAAATCCATAAATGCTCAAACATTTTCTTCTTCTATTTCTGATACATATGTTTTTTATTAGACAATGGAGCCAAGGAAGGTAAAGTGAGAGTGAAAATATTCTTCTCTAACACTTTGGAGCTTCAGACAAACCCATCCCGTCTGTTGTGTTACTTCGGTTGAAGTGTGTAGTTGACTGGGCTGTGGTGAGCTCAACTTGTGCAATCTCTGTCTATCTGCCAACCTTTCAGTTCTTACTTACTACAACTAGAAAAACATATGCCTTATGATAGTGGAAAGCCATTTTAGGTCAAGTCTTGTAAAGTCTTTTCTGTGAATTGTACACCGTCAGAGAAGGGAACATGCATAACCTATAAAAACACACAAACAATATTTGAGTCCAGACACTTGACTCAAACATGAAGCAAGCATGATTGATGAAATTTTAAGTGCAACGTGGGAACTATTGTTTCTCCTGCATCACAGCATATTATCTCACTGCTCAGGAATGACACTGTAACTATTGGTGCTGCAGAAATTAGTGTTCACTGCATGAGAGACCTTTAGTAACTATTTACAAGGGACAACCAAGAGGGACAACTCCAAATGAGAGAGTTGACATGTTGATAAAGTGAAGTCCTGCTAGAAAGATTAGGAAATGTTTTATTGTTACTGCTGCAGTCATGTATGATTATCTTGAGACACTTACAAGTGAGGGCGAAGTGAGGTCCACAATGTTCCTTTCTGAAATGTTGACAGTAGGATAGGATAGTAGATTGTTATCAAGTTCACACATAGAAGAAACAACCTGAAATGCAGTGTGAGAAAATCAAACAGATGCAAAACTTCTCAGTT